GAGACAAATCACTTGATCATTGTCTTCGGTCCACCCTCTCTGGGGCACCTGGTGCTGGCCACTGTCGGTAGACAGGCTACTGGGCTAGCTGGACCCTTGGTCTGACCCAGTACGGCCGTTCTTATGTTCACACATGAACCACACGTCTGCCTCCGGAACCGGTTACGCTGTTGCGCCCGGAGCTAGGGTTGCCAGACGGTTTTGACAAAAATACTGGACACACTTGACATGACATCACAATCGACGTTACGTCTGATTTAGAAAATACCGGACAGTTCTAGTTTCTCAATTTGTTTCCCGGACAGAAAGCTCCAATACTGGACTGTTCGGTTCAAAACCAGACACCTGGCAACCCTACCCAGGGAAGCCCTGGACAAGATTAAACACTTGATTACAGCTAACGACACACAACATGTCTGCGCCCCCTGGCATGAGGGCTGGCGGGTTAAAGCAGGGAGGCAGGAGACGCTTAGAGAGCCCAGGGAGACAGGCCGGCCAGGGGAGACAGGCCGACTGGCCATATAATCAGCTAAAGGCCCAGGAGTATCACCTGTCAACGGCCTCTGTGAAATGAGTTTGGGGGGGTCTCAGTCACCTGGCGGGGGAAGGTCCCATGGGGAGAGAGGGAGGGCTGCCAATCTGGCTCCTCTGTGCACCACTGTGCCCTCTAATCTTTTCCATGTACGTGCAGATTTTTTCCCCATCCATGTGCAGAATAAATTTTGTTGCGCGCCGAGACCTGTGCGAATGGGCACCACCCACAGAAACAAAGAACCCAGCGGTGGGCGCTCTGCTAATCAGCTGGGAGGTCCCATGGGGAGAGAGGGAGGGCTGCCAATCTGGCTCCTCTGTGCACCACTGTGCCCTCTAATCTTTTCCATGTACGTGCAGATTTTTTCCCCATCCATGTGCAGAATAAATTTTGTTGCGCGCCGAGACCTGTGCGAATGGGCACCACCCACAGAAACAAAGAACCCAGCGGTGGGCGCTCTGCTAATCAGCTGGGCGGTGCTGGAATCTCTCCTGAGCAGCTGCACAAGGGCCTGGCTTCCAGGGGACACTGCCTGAGCCCCATCATACGGGGCTGAAGCCAAACAACTTAGCTTCATGGGGCCAAGGATTCTGAAAATATCCCAGGTCTGAAATGGTCTTGGCCTTCAAGGGGCAAGCCTCTCATACACCCAGTTCCCCTCTCCCTTGTGCGCCAGGGGGCCCGTGGGGGCAGCGGGGTCCCGGAGGCGCCGGAAGACGATGCGGTCATGTAAGCGGTTGGTTTGGCCCTGCCAGAACTCCACGAGGTCTGGCTTCAGGACGTATCCCCCCCTGCGGGAAGAACAGAGGCTGTGAGAGGCGCCCGGCAAGGGGCAAGCCTCTCATACACCCAGTTCCCCTCTCCCTTGTGCGCCAGGGGGCCCGTGGGGGCAGCGGGGTCCCGGAGGCGCCGGAAGACGATGCGGTCATGTAAGCGGTTGGTTTGGCCCTGCCAGAACTCCACGAGGTCTGGCTTCAGGACGTATCCCCCCCTGCGGGAAGAACAGAGGCTGTGAGAGGCGCCCGGGCAA